AGATGATCTTCTCATATTAACACCTAACTAAATTATATTTTAAAATTATCAATGAAATATATGGTGAGGATGAGGTCAGTGAAAAAGTGAAGGCAACCATATACAATATGAAAAAGCACCCCAGGAAATTTTGAATCACACCCAGCACCAGCCCCTAGTTGAGAGCCACTGCTCTAGAAGATGATGATGGGTACAATCGATTATTTTGGTTCTTGAAGCTGAGCATGGGCTTATACAGATAATCAATAGAGTGATATAAGTCAACAAATAGAGAAAATTGGAAAGATAATAATCACAATTCATTTCTATCAGCTCTAAGATAAAAATGAATAGGGAAGGAGAATAAGTTTATTAAGTTCCTTCCTACTTTACCTTCAGAGTCCATTGCCTCAAATCTTTGAAGCTAGCAATAATTTTAAATCATCCCCCATATTCAGTCTACACAGTGTGGTCTAGGCAGTTACATGATCATCAGAAAAGATTCAGACTAGCTGCGGGTCTAAGCGCATTAGACCTGGGTCACTTCATTTATTATTATTATTACTCAAGTCTAGTCATTCCAGCCAGAGGAGTCTTTCTATGTCTTTGCTCTCTACTTTTCCTTCTGAAAATATACCTTGAAAAGAAAATATAAAAAATATATAATTGTTCGTCTTGTAGATACTGTTTAAAAGAAACTTTCCCTTTCCACAATCTTGAGATGAATGATTTTACTGCTAGCCTTTCCCACATTACTGATGTAATAATACAGAGAAAAGTTATGGCTAGTTAACTGTCTGGAATGAGAATTTGGGGGCTATTGGCTATGTTTCTAAAAGTTACTTTAATAAGCCTGCTGTGGTTCTCAACCCTCCCTCTACAATGCAATTCTAACCAGAATGTGATTGATATCTTCATTCATGCTAATAAGGCAAAAGTGAAACAAGGAAGCTATACGTAGAGATACTCTTGTTTTTCAATGATGAGCAATTTTTTTTTCTAAATCAGGTCATAGTTTTTATATACTGGAAGAATACTTCAACTTTTTGTGCTATTCACAATGTAATCGTCACAGATTGGACACCTTCATATTTAATCTGAATTGTAAATATTTTCTCCATCACTTTAGTCAGATCCAGGGTTGGCAAACTTTTCTGTAAAGGACCAAATAGTAAACATTTTTGGCTTTTCCAGTCATAGGCTCTGCACCTCAACTGCTCAGCTCTGCTATTATAATGTGAAAGCAGCGATAGGCAATACATCAACAAATAGGTATGGCTGTGTTCCAGTAACACTTTCTTTACAAAAACATGCAGGTTTGGTTTGCCAAATCCCTGGTCTACACAGTCAACAAAAGAGTAACTCAAGTCTGTATGTGCTGATTTCTGACTATGGCCACTGTCAAGTTACAACAAGCCATAATTTTTATAAATTTATTTTAAAACCTTATTTTTGTAAGTATTACATACGTCCCTCATTTTACCCCACTGACTCCTTCTAGCCTGCCCTCCCGAACCCTTTACCTTCTTATTGTCTGTATCCATGGGTTAAGCATATATGCATACAAGTTCTTCCATTGATCTCTTCCGAACAAGCCATCACCCATCCCCCTTCCCTCTGAGATTCAATAGTCTGTTCCATGCTTCTATGTCTCTGGATCTATTTTGTTTATCAGTTTATTTTGTTCACCCACCAACATATGAGTGAGATCATGTGATACTTGTCTTTCTCTGACTGACTTATTTCTCTTAGCATAATACTCTCCAGGTCCCTCCATGCTGTCTCAAAAGGTAAGAGATCCTTCTTTTTTACCACTGCATAGTATTCCATGGTGTAAATGTACCACAGTTGTTGTTTTTTTAACATAGCCTTTGGAAGAGGCACGCAGTAGCACACTAATATGTAGCATTCCCACTAAACAGATACCATTGGCATAAAAAACTTGAAGAAGCTTAGGGAATATTAAAATGCAATAAAATTATTAGGAAGTGAAAAGTATTTGTTGTTTGTTTTAGATATGACTTATTTAATTAAAACTTTATATAGCTTAGTCTTTATTAATGACTACATTTAACAACTGGCTCACAAAATTCCTGAAAATTTATAATCAGCGCTCTCAAGCCAGGAGAAGCCAGCCTCAGCGAACCACGTCAATTAAACCCAAACCCCTGGAGGTGGAGGCACGGATGTTTTAAAAGATCTCCAGATGATTCTAACCCAGCCGTGGGCAAACTACGGCCCGCGGGCGGATCCAGCCCGTTTGAAATGAATAAAACTAAAAAAAAAAAAAAGACCATACTCTTTTATGTAATGATGTTTACTTTGAATTTACATTAGTTCACACAAACACTCCATCCATGCTTTTGTTCCGGCCCTCCGGTCCAGTTTAAGAACCCATTGTGGCCCTCGAGTCAAAAAGTTTGCCGACCCCTGTTCTAACCTGTCACTGCATGAAGGCCTGAGGGTGGGGCTGATGTCCAGCTCTCTTGGAATATGGGAAGAAGGGGAACTTAATCTTTGAGAAAAAATTAGACATTGAATAGGGAAAAACTGGAGAGAAAGAAGAGAGGCAAATGAGGCTGTATGAAAAGAGGCACAATGAAGGAGGCGGCCTTGGAGGAGGAAGAGAGAACGCAGACCAAACTAGGGTGACCAACATCCATCCCAGTTTGTCTGGAACTGAGCGGTTTCCTGGATGTGGGGTTTTCAGTACTAAAAGCAGAAAAGTCATGGGCAAACCACCGGAGGCACTGCATTTTTAACTTTAATTAATTGTTACTAATTTAAGATTACCTAACTACATGTGGCTAGTCACAGCACAGCAAGCAAAAACAAATACAAGATGGCTTCTTTGCATATATAAACTTCCTCTGTGTTTGCAGGTATGGAGATAGTTTTGAAGCATGTTAAAAGGGCAATGTGGGAGAGGAACAATTCAGATTCTAACATTAAATATTTGCTACCCACTGTTGGTGGGAGTGTAAAATGGTGCAGTTACTCTGGAAAACAGTATAGCAGTTTCGCAAAAAAATTAAAAATACTATATGATTCAGTATTCCACTTCTTGGAATTTATTTGAAGAAAACAAAATAACTAATTAGAAAAGATATATATATGTGTGTGTACCTCTATGTTCATACTGACATTATTTACAACTAGAGGCCCAGTGCACAAAATTCATGCACTGGGGGGGGGGGGGGAAGCCCTCAACCTGGCCTTCACTCGCTCACAGTCCGGGATCCCTCGGGGAATGTCCGGGACCCCTCGCTCCTTACTTCCCACCTGCTTGCTGCTCCTTACCACTTGGCTCGCTGCTCCGTAGTGCTGCCACAAAGGTGGGAGAGGCTACCGCCACCGCAACTGCTCTAGCCAGCCATGAGCCTGGCTTCTGGCTGAGCGGCACTCCCCTTGTGGGAGCCCACTGACCACCAGGGGGCGGCCCCTGCATTGAACATCTGTTCCCTGGTCGTCAGTGTACATCATAGCGACCAGTTGTTCTGGTTGTTCCACCATAATGGTCACTTAGGCTTTTATTATATAGATAGCCAAGATATGGACACACTAAGTTTCCATTGAGAGGTGAACTGCATTCTAATGGGCATGACATTAGAAAAAACAAGTTATAGGAAAAAAAAATATAATGTTATTTTCAGCATAAAATTGAATGTTAAGAAAGAAGAATTGTAGTGATAAAGGCTGATCAAAATACAACTACCTTTAATGTTATTACATTCAAATATAAATATAATAGAAGGAAATGAGTTAGTTGAGATGTAGTAATGGTTCCTTAAATAGAATTGGGTCATACATAGAAAAATTCAAATTGAAATAATTATAGTCTCTTAAATATGGGAAGTGAAATTATAAAATGATATTAATCTGACAGACTTAACATGGATACACTAACTCCCTAAGCTTTCAGTACCTAAACCACTTTAATCAGGTATGACTTTTTTTTCTCTTCTGAAGATGCAACATCATATAATAGTCTAGGGCATTTTGCCATCTTGTTCTGACAAATAACCAATTCACCTTTTTGCCCAGCATATTCTTAAGTATTGATTTTACCAAGTGAACCCAGGCAGGTGTCACACTTATCCAATACAGATTCTTTTCCTTGGAAATGTAGTTTGAACATCAATCAGCCACTTGGCCTTCCACCTCTGACTCCTATTACCACTGTCTGTCAATTATTAAAGCTTGCCCATTTCTCCGAACAAGTTGTTTTTAAAAACTGAAATACACAGTGACTCCTGTGAAAAATTTGTTTCTTGGGAAAGTTTGCCAATGTTCACGATTAAATTTCTTCACTGAAATTACTTTCCTGGGTTGAAAACTACTTGAAGTGGTATAATTCCACATTACAAAGGCCTCTAGGTATTTTCTTTTAAAATACATTCCCCGAATGGTAATATTAGCACTTGTAAGCCAAACTCCAGTTTGAGGAAAGACAACAGAGAAAGAAATTCAAGCCAAGCTGCATTGTTACATGGGCCTTCAGATGCAGGAGAATGCTTTGTCTCTGGCTAAGCTCAATGCAGGGCATAGAATGACACCCACCTTGAGCTGCAGGCCTCTTGGGATAAGAGTTTTTGCTGGAAGGCTTTTAATGTGTTGGTAGACATAAGAGGAGAATTGCTCCTGCTCCGCCTGAAGTTGGGGGCCAAGTTTAGAGAGATGATCTCTGTTGCTTTTGATAGCTGTCTGCAATTCATCAATCAGCCTGCTCACCTGAAGGGGTTAAATTACAAGCGTTGTTAGCAAGAAGTAATTGTCGATGTCACACCTATTAGATTTTGAGTACCTAGTTTAATAGGGGGAGAAATTACTGCAATACAAGGATTTGAGTATAGATCTATCTTCGAGTAAAAAGACTAGACGAGATATACATTCCTTCATCAACAAATTTTATTGATGGGAAAATTTGTAACGTTTGCACTTCAATAATATGAAACAGATAGTCATTTACAATTGCCGAATGAAAAGTATCTCTGAGTATAAAAAGAAAATACATCTGCCAAGTTTGCCAAAGACTTTTAAACTACTTAACATCATAAAACCTCCTTAGACTTTAAATAACCTAATATATGTGGCAACAACATTTAATTTTATTAGGTGTAACTTCCTTTTTATAATATTTTATTTTAACATATATATATAATATTTAAATTTTTAATATTAATTTCATTAACATTTGTTGGCCTTTTAAATGAATCAAACTGATATCTTCCTTCCAGATATCCAAAATATAATTTTCCAAATATCTGAAATACAATTTTCCAAAACAGTCATACTTCAAAGTCAATGCTCTATTCTAGACAGTATTTTAAATACATATCAATTTCCAAATAATGCATAGAACTTTTCCAGAGACAGCAATAGCTTAGAAACATGTACCCTTTATTTTAAAATTTCTAGATTTATAATCACCATATTTAAAAGAGATGTGAACTTGACCTGTGGATTATTAGACATGTTGAGGATTCAGAAATAGTAAGTGAATTTTTTTACAAATTAAAAGTCATTACCACCTTTTGACTCTTCACTGTGTTTGTAAACTTATACTCTCTTTAATAGATTAGATTCTTACATAAATACTGGTCCATATTTGGTAGTGACAAAAAAGATGAAAAGCAAAATATACACATTATCCCAAAGTGATCAAATTAGACCCATTTAGAATTATGACTGACTGTGAATAGAGCATGGACTTTCTGAAATCTTGGATTAAAATCCTGGCTCTCCAATTTACTGACTGAGAGACTTTGAACAGGTAATAAATGCCTCATCCATAAATAAAGAACAATATTGGCTTTATCATATTAAAAATTAAATAAGATAAAAGAATGAACACCATAATGCCTAACCTATAATAGATGACTAGCGTACATGTTATATTATTTTCATGCTTAAGTGTCTTCTGCATATTAAATTTTTTATTGTTTTTCTTATACTGTCTTTCTATCCCAAACCCTACTTCAGATGAAGCAGATAAAAATTTAAAACCATTTGCTATAGAGATTCTCCACCTCCTTTCAATATCTAGGTAATTTGAGATCATATATATATATAATATTCTATTATATATCCCAACTATATTTAACTTTCCCCAATAACTTCAGAAGCATTATAAACAAGCTACTTAAAATTATTGCTATTCTTCTTTGGTCTCCCATATCTCTCTTATTTGTCCCTATAATTTCAATCATCTACTTCTTTTAAACAATCGTTCCTTCTGTATAAAAGATTGATACACTTTTTCTCTTTAAGAAACCACATAATAAATATCTTCAGCTTTATGGGCCATATCATCTCCATCAAAACTATTCGACCCTGTAGTTGTAGTTTGAAAGTCAGCGCAATATATAAACAGTTGTTCCAGTCAAACTTTGTTAAGAAAAACAAGTGGTGGGCTGGATTTGGCCCCAAGACTATAGTTTGCCAACCCTTCTTTTAAATACATATATTATCTCTCCTTCATTTTCTTTCTTTTAAGTAATACTCTGGTCCAAGCCATCATCTCATCACCACCCCTTACTTAAATTATCAAAACACCTACTGAGTGGTTTCCCTGACTGTGGTCTCTCCCTTTCTAATTCTTCTTGCCATCTCAACTGAATTAATTTACCTCCAATAGCATATTAAACTTCCAGTTGCTCCCCCAGGTTCCTGCACTTGGTATTCAAGATTCAAGCCCTTCCTTACTTTCTGGAACAAATCTATGTGCTTTCCATAAAATACTGTTAGACCTTTAAGAAAGTTGTAACATTTAAAATATAGAAATGATCCCATATTAGTCAATGTTTTCAGCCTTAATCTTCACTATTCTACATTCCAGCAGTGTTATCATGAAAAATGATGGGTAATAGTCTGGCTGGCATAGCTCAGCATTTGAGCATCAACTTATGAACCAGGAGGTTACAATTCAATTCCCATTCAGGGCACATGCCCGGATTACAGCCTCAATCCCCAGTGTGGGGAGTACAGGAGGAAGCCGATCAATGATTCTTTCTCATCATTGATGTTTATATTTATATCTCTTTCTCCCTCTCCCTTCCTTTCTGAAATCAATAAAAATATATTTTAAAAAATGATTGGTAATAGCATTTCTCATTCCCAAACTAGAGACCAATACAGACCAGCTTACTTGCTCTCACAGTTTTCTGACAAAATTAAAATCCAAGAATCAAAAGCCTTAAATAGAAAGGTTCTATTTCTGGAAAGCACTGATCCCCTCTGAGCTTATTTCCAGGGTCTTATGGTTCAGGAAGATATAATTTCATGTAGTCTTTAAAGTACACTAAGTATGCAATGTATTTTGCTTGTCAGTTATACTGCTCTCTTTAATTTGATATAGCACAGAATGTGTTATAGAAAGCCACAGAGAGAAAGAAAGAAAGAAAGAAAGAAAGAAAGAAAGAAAGAAAGAAAGAAAGAAAGAAAGAAAGGAAGGAAGGAAGGAAGGAAGGAAGGAAGAAAGAGAGCGAAAACAAAGGGAAGGGAAAAAGAAAGAAAGAAAGAAAGAAGAAAGGAAGAAAAGAAGGAAGGAAGAAAGAAATTTTTGGCTTTGATTTGAGAGCATTTTTATACATGACTGATTTACTGTCACAATCCATAGCCTTTCACTGATAGGGGATTTCATGTGACATCAGAAATCAACCAACCATACAACTGATGATGTCATTTGCAGTTTAAACTAAATGACTGTTGTTGGTTAAAGCCTTAAAAGTTTCATTTCCTATGAATTCTTCACTGCTCCACAAAGTCTACAATTTTTGCTATTTTCACTGGCATCATGATTATTTGTTAATGTATGTCAAATTTCATTTCACCAGTTATCACCTATTTTTTTAACAAATGACTAAAAACCATCAAGTTAAATGTTTTAGAAAAAATAATATATTTATTAAACATATTAGAAAATATAAGAAGAATTCTGCCATTGATGTTTTGATGAAATTCCATCCAATTTTATTAAAACTTTGTAACTTTACATATTCATAAGGTCTTTTAGCCTCAAAGTGTGATATTTTGTTCTCAATTATTGTGATAACTCATTACCCTTAAAAGTAACCCTAAAGATGAACTAATTCATATACCAAAATAGGGTAGGTAATACAATACTTCTGAATTACTTTACATAATATAATTTTTTTTCAAATCACAGATGTTACTAAAAGGGGGAAAATGTTCTTTAAATTCTTCATCATGATCTTTTTTTTTCTGCAAATCCCTTTTTCCCCCTCTCTACAAAGGCAATGTGAATAGGAGTAAAAGAAGACAAAACTTGACCTTTTGTGATCCCAGCATTAATGGGTCTGTTCATAATTCAATCTATGTGTGTGTGGGAGCATCCATGTGGAAACATAGAGGCCCGAGAGACATAAAGCCTTTCCCTTTAAACATTATCTGACCCTATCAGTCCCATTCACAAGAGAAGGCTTACGTATGCATATGTTGAAAAAATGCACCATCTCATTGTGCAGTGGAAAGCCTACACATTCTACTCCTCACTCTCCGTGGAAATGCTGCACGGAAGTGACACTTGTTCGGAATTTGAGAGAGTGACAAATGAGCAGAAGATAACAAAAAAATTGAGTCTTCTGAGAAGGAAACAAACTAAACTTCTGAAAGAATGTAAATGCACACCTGTCTATAAACATACATGTGGGTTTTTGCATAGCATGCAGGGCAGTTTGGTCATGTTTTCTGATACATTCATGCAACTCTTGAATTTAATTATAATTCTCAAGATGATTTAGAATCATTACATAGTATTTTGTTTGTAATCATTCTAAAATGTATACATATTGAAGTTGTACATTCTGAGCCACACATTCCGAATACTGTACTCCGGCTACAATGAATGACTCCTGGAGAAGCTCCTGGATTTTATAGTGATGAGATCAAAGCTCAGCTGTCTGCCTGAATCCTATGTGGCCTTGAGTCCATCCCTGTTAGTAAGGAGGACCTGAGAGCACTTTGCACTGAACTATCACTTGAAATCAGTACTAAGGGCAGCAGCCTCCATGTTAGGAATGTCATCTTGGCATGTAACATACAGCCAGGATGGGCTCAAAGCCAGGTGAGCACTTAAACTGAAGACCAAGAAACTTTCTAATTCACAACATAATTAAGAAGAACCAGAAAGGGGCATGGAGATGAAAATTAGTATTTTAAACTTCCTAAAATCTCTTCTGGGTTTCAGGCCCCAGAGTACAATGTTTTTCAGATTAAAAAGTGAACATAATCCAGACTTGAATGACTGAAGACGAGAAAATATGGGGACCTGTGAGCAAAATTCAGCATCTCTTGATTTGGAAGCTGCAGTGTAACTACCAGGAAACCTAACATGGTACCACCTCTTCTTTCCACCACTTTGATTACTCTCCGCTTTTTAAGTTTCCTAGACTACTGTTAGGAAGTAGATCTATCTTATTTCCTGCCATAGGTCCCTTATGTGCTGACTTTAGGCTGATTCGAGAGTCTAACATCCCCATCTACACATGAGGAAAGAGGTGATTAAAAGTAGAAATATTTTAAATGTCTTTATCACCCACTTGACTCTGTTGATGGCATTGAGGATGATGTCAACTATACCTTTTGAGGAAGCAATAAGAATGTGTCTCACTGACCTCTAACTACAGGAGCATAATTTTCCAACGGTCCCAGCTACTGTGCTCTGAAATCCATCACCAAGTTGGTACCAATGGCTGAGAAAACCTCTGTTAGACAATTTTGGCTCAAGGATACACCACCAGCTTTAATGAACCTTCCTTAGACTGCACAACAGTCTAGGATGCTTCTACCCAGTCTTCCTTTCTCCTTTCTTCCCTGATGCTCAAATATGTCTCCCAGCATCACCCATAGCTTTCCCCATTTTCTCTCATAGGCATTTCTTCTAATAAAATGCATACACATCTATTCACACCTAGGTATTTACTTTTCAGATAACCTGGAATAACACACTATTAAACCAATAATAATGGATTACATGCAGCTTTCAAGTAGACCATTTTTTAAAAGTTTTATATAGTTTAACATAAATCATTACCTCAAAGTGGTCTGATGATGAATACATTATTTTTCTTCCCAGTTTTCATGTGGAAAAATTACATGAAATCAAACCAGATTTTTTTTAAAATATATTTTTTTATTGATTTTTTACAGAGAAGAAGGGAGAGGGATAGAGAGTTAGAAACATCGATGAGAGAGATCGACCAGCTGCCTCCTGCACGCTCCCCAGCGGGGATGTGCCCGCAACCAAGGTACATGCCCTTGACCGGAATCGAACCTGGGACCCTTGAGTCCGCAGGCCGATGCTCTATCCACTGAGCCAAACCGGTTCGGCGAAATCAAACCAGATTTTAAGATAAAACTATAGGAATCAGAATTCTAAATCTCAGGTTTTATGATGTTTAATTTAGGTTTTTAAAATATCTAAAAATATAGTATTTTATAAAAAAGTAAATTATCGTAAAAAATAAGTATTAAAGTAATCTCCTTTCCACAACTTTGTACTTCTCTTCACCATCACAAGTTCACATCTCTATATGTGAATTAGGGCCAAAACTGGATGTCACTGACTTTTTCTAACCAAAATACTAGAAATTACAACTCAATATTAATATAATCACTTTCAAAGTAATGATGTTGAAATTATTTTCATAGTATATGGAATATTACACACACACACACACACACACACACACACACACATAGCTGATCAAGCAGACATATAACCAAATAAGGTACTGTGCAGGTACATAGGTACTAAACAGATACTAAGGTGATAATAAAGAAGAAATACTAAATATGCATAAAACTGTTGGATTTTCCAGAAAAAATAATTTTCATTCCCAGTGTTGCTAGCAAAGTAGCATTCAAAATTATATATTTAGTATCATGATCATTTTCCTGGGCCACCTCAAGCTTTTAGTTCCATTGAAGCTGCAATTTTGCATAAAATATCAAAGAGTAAACAATTACTAGTACAATATTTAAAGGGCAGGAAATACTTAATTTTTTCATTTTCTAATTTCCTATTTATCTCTAATAATAATTTGTGTTATAGATATAATTCTAATTATACTAATTAAAGATATTTATTTGCATTTTCTAAAGTTTACCATACCAAGATACATGATACAGTCATTTTAAACTTACTCTCCAACTGTGATAAAATAAATCACAGTTTTATATTTTTTAAATAAATAGAAGACAACATTTTAAAATTTATCATTAAAAACCTTCTCTTTTGTGCTCGCTTCGGCAGCACATATACTAAAATTGGAACGATACAGAGAAGATTAGCATGGCCCCTGCGCAAGGATGACACGCAAATTCGTGAAGCGTTCCATATTTTTACACCAATCAGAAAGGATATATGCACCCCTATGTTCATAGCAGCACAATTCACCATAGCTAAGATCTGGAAACAGCCTAAGT